CAGAGGCAAGACAGACAAAACCCCTACCCCTGCCCACATAATGTTTGCGAGTGGAAGAGGAAGGCAGCCAACGTACACACGAGTAAAAGATAGCGGTCAGATTGTGAGAAGTGCTGAGAGAAAGTCAGAGGAGGATGAGAGGGCAGGTGGGAGGGGCTGTTTTTGAGAGGGTGTCCTGGAGAGCCTCACTGAGAGGTGACATCTGAGTATGGATCAGACCTGCCCCACCTTCTCTTGGCTGAGAATGGTTTTTACAGAATAGCATTTGCATCAATTCCATGATGGGGACGCTAACTTTAGTGTTGTCCCCCTAAAAGAATCCCGTTCTCAGCCTTAGTTGACCTGTATTATCGAAAAACAAAACAGTAATCAAGTCTTATTATAAAGTCACATTTCATCACTAAACATCTTGTGGACGTTTTCTCTCTTGGTATATGTTAATTCCTGCATAATAGTCTCAATTTTGCCTCATAGCCAACCCAGCCTAAGGTCTTTAAAATGTGGCCTTTACATAAAAAGTGCTGACCCTGGAATAGCCCCAGGAGGTGAGGAGATAAACCATGTCTGGGGCAGAGGGAACAGCCAGTGCAAAGGCCCAGAGGCAGGAGCCAGGAGGGTGATGCAAAGGGTCATGGGAACCTGGTCAGTGCAGGGTCTGTGCCAGTTCCTGAGGTCTGTAAGTATGTGATGGCTATCACTGATGGAACATCTTTTTTCCTATTATATGACCTAATTTGTTATTGATGAGTAGAAGGCTATTGATTTTGTCTACTGATCTTTCCCCAGCCCTCTTAGCTTATTCTCTTATCGTTTTATTAATTTCTCAGTTGGTTCATTTGGATTTTCTTTTTTTTTTTTTTTTTTTTTTTTTTTTTTTTTTTTTTTTTAAAATATATTTTATTGATTTTTTACAGAGAGGAAGGGAGAGAGATAGAGAGCCAGAAACATCGATGAGAGAGAAACATCGATCAGCTGCCTCCTGCACATCTCCCACTGGAGATATGCCCGCAACCCAGGTACATGCCCTTGACCGGAATCAAACCTGGGACCCTTCAGTCCACAGGCCGATGCTCTATCCACTGAGCCAAACCGGTTTCGGCTGGATTTTCTTTAGAAGGCAATTGCATCTTCTACAAATGATGCATTTTGCATTTTCCTGCCCATATATAACTCAGTGTCTTCCTCCCCTCTCCCCTCCCTCTTTCCCTTCTCTCTCCAGTGTTCCTCCCCTCCCTTCATAATGATGAGAGTTTAAGTTTTCAGAGGAGACTCAATGAGAGGTGTCTCCATCGTGTGATTTTGCCAATCTTCCTGGGGATTTGTCTGCCCTCAGCACCAGGCTGCCCCCCTGAGGAGGGGGCATCTGAGCCAGGTATTAGAGGATGAGTGTTTGGAGCTCTTGGAAAGAGACAGCATTGTAGGGAGGGGTAACAGCATGTACAATGGCTCAGAGGTTTGAGGGACTTGTCATGTTTGGGGAACCTATTACAGGTCTGGAGCAATGAGGTGTCAACTATGGCCAGAGAAGGGGGTTGGACTTAGAATCACTGTGCCACGTTTCTAGATCCTGGCCAGGCAGGACTGCAGGGCAGGGGGCGGGTGAAGGAGGTGTGTTTAGATGAATCCTCACTTCTTGGTGACTGCCTGCCTGTGAGGGTGAGGGAGAGGCTGAGTGTTTCTGGCTGAGCTGGTTAGTGGTGGGGCCACCAGAGCAGGCTTGGGAAAGGGCAGGAAGAGTTCTGTGTGACGTGGAGGGTGTCTGGAAGTGGAGCTTACCCTGTGGAGGGAGCTGGCTCTATGGGTTAGGACCTCTAGAGAAACTCTAGGCAAATGAGAGTATCTGGGGGCTATCATCAGAGGTGATATTCAGAATATTTAACAACCACTGCGGTTTGGGAAGCAACCAGTTATAATATCCTTGGATGACATTAAAATTTTCCTATTAACTTTTCAGTTCTCAGTTCTCATATGCACAGAACCCTGGGCTGGTGGGAGCCTGGGGAAGGCCTACTGCACAGCCTGCCTGGTGCCCTGCCCAGTGCCCTGCCCAGTGCCGTGCAGTGCGGCCCATTTGCTCAGAAGAGAGAGGGAGAGATAGAAACATCAATGATGAGAGAGAATCACCGACTGGCTGCCTCCCGCATGCTCCACACTGGGGATTGAGCCCGCAACCCTGGGCATGTGCCCTGACCGGGAATCAGACCATGATCTCCTGGTTCCTAGGTCGACGATGCTCAACCACTGAGCAACACTGGCCAGGGCCCAACTTCATCTCTTGATGGGAGGAACTACAAAGCACTCTGGCCATTCATATGTGTAACCCAGGAGACTTTTTATTTTATCACATTCCTTTTGCCGTGTAAGGTAATACATTCACAGGTTCCAGGGATTAGAATGCGCACATCTTTGGGAGGCCATTATTCTGTTTACTCCAGGGTTTTCCAGATGGTGGCTACAGCAGTGCCTGCTATCTGTGAGGAATACACTTCCAGACCCCCAGGAGATGCCTGAAACCGTGGATACTAGCGAACCCTACACATACAGCTGACCCTTGAACAACATGGCTTCAAACTGCACAGGTCCACTGATACACGAATTTTTTTTCAATAAATATATACAGTGCCATAAATTTATTTTCTCTTCTTTATGATTGTCTTAAAAACATGCTCTTCCCTCTAGTTTACTTTATTGTAAGAATACATTACATAATACATATAATATACAAAATACGTGTTAACCAATGGTTTATGTTATCGGTAAGGTTAGCATCACCAGTAGGCTATTGGTAGGTAAGTTATAGGTGGATTTTCAACTGCAAGGGGTGTCAGCACCCCTACCCCTATGTTGTTCAAGGGTACATTGTGCTGTTGTTTCCCATAAGTATGTAGCGATAATAAAGTTTAATTTATAAGTCAGGCGCAGCAAGAGATGAACAACAATAACTAGTAATAAAAAGAGAACTGTAACAATATAATGTAACAGAAGTTACATGATGTGGTCTCTCAAAATACCTTGCATTGTACTCACCTTCTCACTTAGAGGAAGCACTTTACAGCTTCTCTTTGATGTATCCAAATTGCCAGCATCGTCATTCGTGTGCTTTGGGGCCATCTGTAAGTAAAATAAGGTGGCTTGGACATAAGCACTGCGATACTGAGGCAGCCAACCTGACAAGGGAGATGGCTGCTAAGTGACGAGCGGGTGGGTGGTGCGTGCGGAGTGTGGGGACCGTGGACAAGGGGGGATTCACAGACCTGGCAGGACAGTGTGCTATTTCATCCCGCTACTCAGAATGGAGGGACATTTTAAAACTTATGAATTGTTTATTTCTGGGATTTTTCCATTTAACATTTTTGGACCACAACTGACCACGGGTAACTGAAACCACAGAGAGTGAACCCGTGGATATGGGGGACTACTATATTATGAATTTAGCTACCATAAACATTTGAACAGTTATTTTTGTGTGTCTGTGTGAACATAAATCTTTATTTCTCTGGGATAAATGCCCAGGAGTGCAATTACTGGGTCATATGGTAATTGCATATTTTATTTTTTAAGAAACTGCCAACCTGCTTTCCAGAGAGGTTGTAATATTTTACATTCCTGGCACAATGTATGAATGATTCAATATCTGCATCCCTGTCAGTATTGGGTGTTGTCTATATGTATGTATGTATCGAAACATTAATGATGAGAGAGAATCACTGACTGGCTGCCTCCTGCACGCCCCCTACAGGGGATCAGCCTGCAGCCTGAGGGGCTTGAACTGTGACCTCCTGGTTCATAGGTTGACACAATGGCTGAGCCACACCTGCTGGGCACTATTCTTAACTTCAGCCAGTCTGTTAGGAGTGCAGTGATGTCTCATTGCAGTTTTAATGTGCATTTTGCTAACGGCTCTTTTCATGTGGGGCTGGTTTTATTGAAGGCAGCACTGTTATCTCTAACGTCGTGCCTAGTACTGTTCAGTGCAACAGTCACATCAAGGGGTTGACGTTTTTTTTGTTTTTTTAAATATATTTTATTGATTTTTTTACAGAGAGGAAGGGAGAGAGATAGAGCTAGAAACATCGATGGGAGAGAAACATCGATCAGCTGCCTCCTGCACACCTCCCACTGGGGATGTGCCCGCAACCCAGGCACATGCCCCTGACCGGAATCGAACCCGGGACCCCTCAGTCCGCAGGCCGACGCTCTATCCACTGAGCCAAACCGGCCTCGGCAAGGGGTTGACGTTTTTGTTGTTGTTTTTCCCCACTGTTGCTAGGAGGTTAAGTCGGTTCTACTTTTCTTTTTTTATTTATTCTTTATTGTTTAAACTATTCCGTGTCTCCTTCTGCCCCACTGACCTGTCCCTGGCCGCCCCTGCCCCGCCCCGGCACAGGCCTCGCCCCCGGCTGTCTGGTCCGTGTCTCGCTCAGCGGCGTGCCAGTCCCGGGGTTGCCCCTCCGCGCCTTTCCCGAGGTTGGACGGTCTCCTCCATGACCGGTCTCTGGATCTATTTTGTTCATCAGTGTACGTTGTTCATTCGATTCCACAGGAGAGTGAGGTCATGGGTACTGACCTTCCTCCGACTGGCTTCTCCCGGCCCATCCGTCCGTCCGTCCCTCCGTCCGACGTCGCTGCGAGTGGGAAGAGCGCGTTCTTTTTCGCAGCCGCGTCGTATTCCATCCGCAGCGGCACCGCCGGTTTCAGTCCACTCGTCACCGGTGGGCACTCGGCTGCGTCCAGCTCTTAGCGACTGTGCGTCGCGGCCATGACGGCCTTGACGTCTTTATTGCGAACAAGCCGGGGAGGGAAGCGCGAGAAAGGTCTCAGCCGAGCGCAGCCGGCGCTGTGGGGGCCTCAGCGGGAACGGGCTCTGACCCCGAGATGACCCCACGCACGCACGCACGTATGCACGCACACGCACACGCACGCACATACGCACGCGGCGCGGCCCCGGTTCCGCCAACACCAGGGCCAGGGGCGCAGCAGAGGGGCCGCGGGCGGGGCCCATGCCGTTACCGGGCGGCCTGGGCGGCACCCGCGCCCTGGGCCTCCTGGTCCTGCTCCTGCTGCGGCAGCCCCGGCTCCCGGAGGCGCGGGCGGGCGGGGCGGGGGGGCCCACACCCTCACCTGCCCCCTCGGGGGGCGGCCGCCAGCACCCGGGGGCGGGCCCGCGGGAGTTGCCACCTGTAGGCGCTCAGGGGCCCTCCGAGGCCCCCGGGTCCCCCCATTTGGCGGCGTCGACCCCAGGGGGCTCTGATGCCCAGGAAACGGCGGCGGCCCCACTGACACCGACGCCGCCCGCCACGGAAGACAGGGTGACGCCCGTGACGCCGCCCGCCGCTCCAGGTGATGCTGCTGGGCCGGGCCCCGCCAGAGACCAGCGGTGCTGGGGCCGGGAGGAGCGCGGCGGGCGCCGGCGGGCGGCGTGGCCCTTCAGTGCGCCCTCCTCGCCTGCTCCAGGCTGCGGCCACCAGACCATGCGGATCGTGGGCGGGAGGCCGGCGGCGGAGCGGCAGTGGCCCTGGCAGGTGAGCCTGCAGATCAAGGACGAGCACGTGTGCGGGGGCTCCCTCATTGCCAACCGCTGGGTGTTGACCGCCGCCCACTGCATCTTCGGGTGAGTGTTCCAGGCCCCGGCCGCCTCCTGGCCGGTGAGGCCGTGCGGCCCGAGCCAGCCCTGGCCCCTCCCCGGGCTTTCTCTTCAGGCTGTGGTCAGAGGCAGGTGGTGCTAGGGCCCTTGGGAGCCTGGACCGTCCAGATCCAAAACCACGTTCAAAGCCGCTGCTTGAAGCCAGTGCTGGTTAGCCTTCACCGCGGCCAGAAGGGGGAGACGCCAGTGGGGGCAGTGCGGGCAGAGACTCCCCTGGGGGGGTGCTGACGGGGGTGGGTGTAGTAGACCCATTTGGCTAGATCAGTGGTCTGAACTCTAATGAGCCCAGAAAGGCCTGCAGAGCTTGTTAAATACAGATGGCCTGTCCCCAACCCGAGAAGTTGTGATTCAGGACTTTGCATTTCTGACACGTTCCCACGTGATATTGATGCTGCTCATCCGAGGACCAGACTTTGAGAACCCCTGGATGGAGTGGCTGGGGCTGGGGAAGGGGTGCGGTGTGGAGGAAGGGAAGTGGCTGATGGCTGGCGTGGGAGATAGGACGGGGCTGGGAAGAACCCAGACCGTGTGGAAGGGCCTGGGACCATCAGGGTCTCTCTGCAGCTTCCTGGATTACACGGTGAAGGTCGGAGGCATCCACGTGCATCACGCCTCCAAAATGGCAGTCAGAGTCCCAGTGCGAGACATCGTCATCCACCAAGATTTCAGCACTTTCAAGACGATCGAGAACGACATTGCACTGGTTCTGCTCGAGTTCCCTGTGAATTACTCCACCCACATCCAGCCGGTGTGCTTCCCCGAGAAGACTTTCATGGTGCAAACGGATACCGACTGCTGGGTGACTGGGTGGGGAAAACTACATGAAAAAGGTGAGACTGTGAAGCAAATTCAGGCCCGGGGAGGGGTGCCCTGGGGTTGAAGCCAAAGGGAGACCAGGGAGGCAGTTCTCTAGCAAGAGGGTAAGGGAGGAGGGTACGTTGATGGGGTTGCACATTTCTATTAATAGGTCAGGACCCTGGGTGACAAGCAAGGTGGGTTTTAGCTCAGGTGGGTTTTGTCTGCTAATCGGAGCCACCCCAACTGGAAGTACTTGCCTCGGTGCTTGGGGAGTTTTCAGTGAGAAGAGGCCTTAGAGATGCCTCTCAGTGACATTGCAGGGCCCCCTGCCCCTGGGAGAGCTGGGTTGGCACTTCCTGATGCAAGTCTGTGGTCCTGCTCCAAGTGAAAGAAAGTCCTGATGTCTGGACACCTGTCGCGATTCCTCATGGCACTCAGGGTGACAGGTGCTTGGCTTGATTTCTCAGGCTGGTAAGGCCTCGCCTCTTCCGGTCCTGATCAGCCCTTCCTTCTCCCGTCTTGGTTTTGATGCTTACCTCCTCCTCTCCCCATGTCACCTTTGGGTCTCCTTTCCTGCAGTGTCCAGTGGGGACAATACCCACTGCTCTAAGAGGGTGTCTGTGTGTGAACACACTCTGTGGAACCCAGAGTGGGTGCCACTAAGCGGACCCCCTTGTCCGATATTATCTTTCCAGATCCTAAGGAGGCAGCCCCCGAATTGCTCCAGGAGGCTGAGCTAAAAATCATTCGCCATGAGAAGTGTAATGAGATCTTGAAGAAAAAGTTGGGAACCAGGTTTGACCTAGTCAGGGAAGGGTGTGTCTGTGGTTACAACGATCTCGGAAAGGATTCCTGCCAGGTCAGTCCACGACCCTTTGCTGCCTCGGCCCTGGGGTTGTCCCCTGGGGTTCTTCATCACAGGCAGTAGGACCTGCATTGCCTGCCAGCCCCTCCATTCACTCTCCATTCAAATGAAGGGGATTCAGCGGGACACGCTGCAGGGGCTTTGCCCGGCTGGCCTGACCCTGACCCAGCCTTTCAGTAAAGAGGAGAGGATGCTGCCTGGAGGGGGCAGGGAGGAGGGGGGTCCAGGCAGGACACACCAGTGAGACGGGTCACATGTTGTGAGCCCCTTCTGTGTGACAGGCAATGCATTAGGTAAGGGCTTTAATCGTTATTGTTGTCTCAGAGTATGTACATTTTCTCTGTTTATAGTCAGTATTTTCTGGGCACAGTTTTTGAGTATGTTCACAAATTTTCAACTTGTAAATCTCTCAGAAACCTGGGCTGGGGGCGCCCCACGTGTGTCCAGTGCCTTGCAGGCAGCCAGCCGGCTCTGATGTTGGTCTTTCATTCCTCCATTTGTCTCTCTTTCTCTCTCTCTCTCTCCAGGGAGATTCTGGGGGCCCCCTGGTCTGTGAATTTAATAACACCTGGGTCCAGGTGGGGATTGTGAGCTGGGGCATCGGCTGTGGCCGCAAAGGATATCCTGGAGTTTACACAGAAGTTAGTTTCTTCAAGGACTGGGTCATTGATCAGATGAGTCAGGCTTCTTCTCAAGACTCAGCAGTCCTCCCCACCCTGCCCCTGTGTCTGGTGCTGTCCCTGGGCGTCTTGGTGACCTTGTGACCACAGGCTTGCTCCCTCCTGTTTCTGAGTCTCCCTCGAGGCCTCTCCTCCCATCTCCCTCTCCTCAGTGCCCTCCCCTCACATTCCCGTTGGGACCCACTGGCTCTGTGGAGCCACATAACAGAGAGTAGAAGTGAGACTGGAGTCCCCGAAAGTGTCCTGCCTGGTGCTCCAGTCCCGGGCCCCGGCCCCGCCTACACCTGCTGGGAGGGAGGCTGAAACCATCCAGCTCCGGGGCCAGCTGGCCTGCTCAGGAGAACAGGTGCCGCATGGACGTGTCGGAGAAGGTCTACCGAGGAAGAGACGCCATCAGCACTGGACACCGTCAGACCCAGTGGTTTCAGGCTCTTGCCTGATAACTGTCAAACCAGTCAGCTTGGTGATTGTCCAGAGAGAGTGAGCGAGGTGCCACCCTGCGTGGTGTGATTTCCACAGGACTCGGTCGTCTGTGGTGGGGAGAAGTTCCCTGCACCCCATATGGATCCACCTGTGAGTGCCAGCCTCTGCCACGTCAGCCTCCTGGGTCAACCCGGCCTCGGAACCCCCTCCCGCAGTGCCCTGGTGGCCACATCCAGGCTCACCCCATGTTGTGTTGAGACAGGAAGGAGTGCCGAGATCTCTCACTTCAGTCGAATAAATGTTTGGAGAATGTCTTGCGTGTTCTGAAGCTCTGCTGTCCTGGACTTTGTGGGCTAATGTAGATGTACATGATTTACATATTGATGATGAATATAAATGATGAGATGGAAGCTTTCTGTCTCATAAGGTAGTCGTACTTTACACAGGCCATTCAGGTTGCATATTTAAGAAACTATTCATTATGTTTAATTTTAACATTGATTTCAGTATTTTGCTTTTTTTTTAACAGAAGTATCTTTGGGAATTGTTTAGAATTATAAATTTTTAGCATTCTGTTTCTTATTCATGAAAACACAAAGGCTTAGTCTCTAATCAGTTTTATGATGCAAAATATGAATGCTCTCTGGATAATTGCTGATGTGGGAACGGCTGATTTCCCACTAGCCGACATTTAAATATACATATGTACATATTTTTATTGGTTTCAGAGAGGAAGGGAGAGGAGAGAGAGAATCACTGATCTGCTGCCTCCTGCACGCTCCTTACTGGGGATCAAGCCCGCAACCTGGGCATGCGCCCTGACTTGGAATCGAACCGTGACCTCCAGGTTCATAGGTCGATGCTTAACCCTGAGCAACACTAGCCAGGCACCCACTAGCTGACATTTATATGCTGAAGGTATATTGTTACTTCAATAGAATCTGAAAGACATTGATTTTGTTAAAAGATGCCTCCAGTCAATGGCACACATATTTTTTAATGAAATGAGCACCATCATACTTGTACATTGCTGAGCAGATTGGGGTTTTTGATGCAAACAGACTAGCAGACTTTATATTTTGTGAGTTTCATTCTCTGAAGTAAAGAAGGAAGCTTTTGAAATGATAGTGTTTTTGATCTGCCACAATTCTTTATCGATAGATCCTTATACTTGCTTATTTAAAAAAGACAGTGTTGTGGTTTTGACTTAAAGTTTTAAGCATAAAAAGAATTAGAGTGGCCGAAACCGGTTTGGCTCAGTGGATAGAGCGTCAGCCTGCGGACTGAAAGGTCCCAGGTTCGATTCCGGTCAAGGGCATGTATGTACCTTGGTTGCGGGCACATCCCCAGTAGATGTGCAGGAGGCAGCTGATTGGTGTTTCTCTCTCATCGATGTTTCTAGCTATCTCTCTCCCTTCCTCTCTGTAAAAAATCAATAAAATATATTTAAAAAAAAAAAGAATTAGAGTGAAGAGAGTCATTGTGTTTGGATCTAGTTCTTTGTCCTCATTCCAGGGCCCAGTGGTCCAGAGTCTCTGCCTCGCTCTGGCCACTCCCTCCCGGTCTCCTGACCCTGCTGTCCTGCCCAGGTTTCCCTCAGGGCTTCAGAGGGCGGCCTGTGCCGAGGAAGGCTGGGTGGGACAGAGCTGGCATCAAACCCAGTCTCTTAATGCGGATCCAAGCAGCTGCTTTAAGGAGCCACTGAATACTCATCGGTTACAAGTCAACTGACGCTCTTGTTCCCATAGCCTGGTCAGCAGGCAGCTTTTCTCCTTCTCATGGCTGCACTTGGCTGTGGTTTGTGCTTTCCCTGCATCCGAATTCCCTGCGGGGCTGGTTAAAATACAGACCCCGGGTTCCCCCCCAGAGTTCCCAGGCCTGCGGGTCTGGGCGGGGCTGAGCAGTGCCTCTCCACCTAGCTGACAAGTAATGCTGCTGCCGCCCTGGGGACCACGCTCCACACAGGGACACAGGCCACCTCTACCCACCTGTTGGTGGGCTCCCATCTGTACCCCCTTAGCTTTGGTTCCCAAAGCTGGGCCATCCACACTGGACAAGAGAAACAGAAAGCTCGGTCTCCCAATCTCCGCCACACCAGCGATTCAAGGACAGCGTCCTTCCAGACACTGTGGGAGCGTTCCAGATTCTCAAGATAAACTGGGTAAGTCCCATGCACCCAGCACAGGGACCAGGGTGCAGCCGGGGCTGGGGGACAGAAGCCAGGCTCTGGGGGCGCTGTGGTGGGGCTGGCCATCTGGGGGCAATCTGGGGTCCAGAGCTCCGAGGTCGCCTTCCAGGAACTGGAGCGGGGGTGAGGGTGGGGGTGCTGGGGCTCCGGGGGCGCCCTCCTCCTCCTCCTCCCTCCTCCTCCCACCTCTTTCTTCTCCCTCCTCCCCTCCCCCTCCTCCTCCTCCTCCTCCTCTCCCCCCACCTCCTCTTCCCCCCTCCCCCTCGCGGTATGGGGAGGGCGGCTCGCGCCTGGGGATCCGGCAGGTAACGTGCTGGAGGCGCCTCATGCGCCAGCGCTGCCCGCGCGCATGGGGTGCCTTTGCGCGTCTCACTCTGCGGGTGCCGCCTGCGGGCTCATGGCCGCCTCACTGGGGGGCCTCCGCGCTGGGCCTGGAGGCCTGAGCCTCCTCTTCCTGCTGCTGCCGCTGAGCCGGGGTGAGTCGACCGTCCCCCCTTCTTCCCCACCCCCCTCTCCCCTCCTCCCTTCGCTTCTCCCACTCCTCCCTCCCCTCCTCACCCCCCAACCCCCCTGGAGGCCCTGACCGGCCTTCTGGGCTTCTGGGACCGCCCCCCGCCCCCCACGCCAATCACCTCTCCTCCACTACCCCCCCATACCTCCCAGCGATGCCAACCCCCTGCCCTCTCTGGCCTCCTCCCCCAGCCCCCGCTGGGCCTGCAGCCTCCTGGGGATCCCCGACTTTTCTCCCGGGGGGTCAGCCGCTTCTGTCTGCTGGCAGCGTGGACCTTCGTGGCTGAGACCCCAGCCACCCTCTCTCAGCATCCCCAGCCTCCCTCTCCCATCGCCGCAGGCAGCTGGGCACCGGGGTACCCCACCTGGGCATGGGTTCTGGCCGGCACAGACTCAAGGTCTCCATGTGACAGAATATTCCACAATTCATCCGCAACCCGACCCTCTTTCCCCACCCAGCGCGCCCACCCACGCTGCCTCCTTCCTCAGTGGACGCAGCCCTGGGTGGTCTCCCCTCCCGCAGGTGAAACAGAGTCAAAGGCGGTTTCCCCCAACCAGATGGAGGGGAGGGGAAGGGGGCACTTGATGCATCGGGAGCAGCAATGACTGAGAGTTAGGGTTCTTCTCGCAGGTGCAGCGGGGTCTCCCTGTCCCCGGGTGCCCACCGGGGGCTGGCATGACTGGTGCAGGCGCAGACACCGTGGTTTGGGGAGTGCCCAACGAGAAACTTTAATTTGAAACATTAATTTTCAATCGAAGTTACATCCAATATTATTTTGTACCAGTTCCAGGCGGACAGCGCAGCAGCAGACTGTCATGTCCTGTACAGACATTTCCACCTGGCGCCACACCCAGGGCACTGACTTCCCTCTGCGGCCTCTGTGACGCTTCTGTAACTCCAGCTTGTACTTGTTAACCCCTTCACGCTTTCCCCCAAGAGGCTTCAATCACATGCAGGGGAGGCTCAGAAGTAACAGAAGGAAGGTCTCCGCTCTCTCCCTCAGCACCACCTCCTGCTCCTCTCGTCCCTCCCAGCCGCCCATGTGCTCATCCCCGATGGATTGCTGTTCCCTAAGGTGCTGTCGGCCCCTTCCTGCTGCTGGCGGTGCACTCACCTGCCCGGGCGGTGAGCTGCCATCTCCTATATGTGATGCTGCCCAGCGTGTGGCCGAGCACCCACCTGCTGGCGCCTCCGAGAGCCATCTCAGCTGGGGGAAGCCCTCCTCCTCCTGCAGGTTGGGCTTCCTCACTCTGTCCTCTGACTCGGAGGATGGCAGCCACTCGTCTCTAGAATCAGAGATGGGGAGGGGGTCGTCCTGGACTCGGCCATGTCCCCAAGTCCCCGCTCTGCTCACCATGTCGGTTCTCACACCCCGTCTTCACTCAGACTCCACATTTCTTGCCTGGTTTCTGCAGCGCCTCTGGTGGGGCCTGGCTGCCCTCAGTCTTGTCACCTTCCTACCGTTCTCTTCGCTGCCTTCACAAGACCAGCGGCCCACGTCCCATCTTCACTGGCCTCTTCCTCCCGGACTCTGCTCCCCTGGCTTCCTTTCTTGCCGTCGCAGGCCTTGCCCGTTACCCTCCAGAGCTCGGGCCCGCACCACGGTGTTGCCTTTGTAAGGAATGTCATCGCCACTTCTCATCCGTGGCTTGCCTTCTCTCTGAGACCCGGTACAATGGCCCCTCTTGCCGGAGCCTCTGTCCACGGCTTCTTCGGGGCTCCCCTGACAGCTGTGGCTTCGTCCCTGCACCGGCCTCCTCGGGTGACTGCATTTACTTGCTCCCCTGCTGGCCGCGTGGCCCTCGAGGGCAAGTGCAGCGCGCACCTGCCTGATGACCTGTGTCCTACAGCTCGGGGCTCCGGGCTGGGACGAGTGGGAGAGGAGAAATACTGGTGAATGAATAAATGCACTCATTCATGAAAACACCCCTCTTCGCTCTCTTCATCTCTGCCCCTTTTCTCCAGGTGACAGAGAAGACACGAAATCAGGTGGGTAGGCTGAGCCCTGCTGCAGGAGAGCCTCCGCTCCTGGGGGCGGGGGGGGGGGGAGGTTCTGAAGAGGGTCACCTGTGGCTAGTGTTTCTGGGCCTGAAGGAAGCAGGCACGTAGTGGGAGGGGCCTGCTTTCCAAAGGCCAGCCTGTGCTGCCGGGACATACAGACCTGCCGGTGGGAGGAAAGAGTGTCCCTGTGGGACACAGGGCCTCTGCCTCCAGCCCAGGCTGCATCCGACCAGGGGAGGTGCCCCTCTTCTGCACAGAAACCTCCTGGTGCCAAATGGTTCCTTTCACATAAGGACCTCGGGGCCCGTGGCAGTGCCCGCAGAACCAGCTCTTCTGGGTCTCCCTGCCTTTTCCTGATGCTTCACGGGTGGGGGCTGGTGTATCCTGCTTGTTCATGGGCCCCTATTGCCCTGACTGTCCTGAATTATTTGATTGACTGATTAAGTTATTCCTGTTTATGTCCGTGCCCCACTCCTATTCCCTCTCTCTCTCTTTTTTTAAATGTATTTTATTGATTTTTTACAGAGAGGAAGGGAGAGGGATAGAGAGTCAGAAACATCATCAGCTTCCCCCTGCACACCCCCTACTGGGGATGTGCCCGCAACCAAGGCACATGCCCTTGACTAGAATCGAACCTGGGACCCTTCAGTCTGCACGCCGACGCTCTATCCACTGAGCCACACCGGTCAGGGTCTATTCCCTCTCTTTACTCTCTTTCCAACCTTTTTAAAATATATATATTTTTACTGATTTCAGAGAGGAACAGAGAGAGAGAGAGAAACATCAGTGATGAGAGAGAATCATTGATTGGCTGCCTCCTGCATGCCCCTTACTGGGGATCGAGCCCGCAACCTGGACATGTGCCTTTGTCCGGAATTGAACCTGGGACCCTT